TGATGCTATTCTTGCTGCCATGTATGCTGTGTCTATTAGTGCTGAGGGTGACTGTTACGTGTGTGTTCCGCCTGACCCTGGTATTGAGGCTGCTGCTCTAGGTGCCAGTGAGTCAGCTGCTCCAGGTACTCGTGAGTCTGCTGCTCTAGGTGCTGGTGAGGCTGCTCTCTCAGGTACCGAGTCTGCTCAGGTCTTTCACACCTTCACCCTCGACTCGGGTGCTTCCCGCTCCTTCTTTCGAGACCGCACCACCCTTACGCCGCTCAGTCGGCCGGTTGCGGTCTCTCTGGCAGACCCCTCTGGGGGTCCTGTCCTTGCTCGCTACTCCACTGTCCTCCCGTGTCCGGCGGCCCCGTCGGGCTCCCTGTCTGGTCTCTACCTCCCCTCGTTCTCCACGAACTTGGTGAGTGGTGCTGACCTTCAGGATGCCGGAGTTGACCAGTTCTCTCCTGCAGGTCAGCGAGTGACTCACTGCACGTGTGCTCAGACGGGCCGCCACTTGGCCTCGTTTACCCGTCGACCGGGGTCGAGCCTGTACACACTGACCACAGAGTCTCCCCAGGTTGCTGCGTCTGGTCAGGTGGCTGCGTCGAGTCAGGTGTTTGCTGCAGCGTCTCAGTCAGGTCCTGCGTCTGCCCCCTGCTCGTGTCGCCTCCTGTCCCACCAAACCCTCCTCTGGCACCACCGCCTTGGTCACCCCTCCTTGCCTCGTCTCCGAGGCATGGCCTCCCGTGTCCTTGTCTCTGGTCTCCCCCGGTCCCTCCCTCCCCTTCCCCCGGGCCCTGCCCCTACCTGCGTTCCCTGCGTCGAGGGGCGGCAGCGCGCCGCTCCTCACTCCTCCGAGTTTCCCCCGACAGAGGCTCCGCTGCAGACTCTTCACATGGACGTGTGGGGCCCAGCCCGCGTCCGTGGACAGGGTCACGAGCGTTACTTCCTGCTGGTCGTTGACGACTACTCGCGTTACACCACAGTCTTCCCCTTGCGCAGCAAGGGTGAGGTCACTGAGGTGTTGATCGACTGGATCCGCGTTGCTCGTCTCCAGCTCAGAGAGCGTTTCGGCTCGGACTTTCCTGTTCTGCGTCTGCACTCCGACAGAGGCGGAGAGTTTTCCTCCGACCTTCTGCGAGCCTTCTGTCGTGCGGAGGGCATCCGCCAGACGTTCACGCTTCCGGCCTCTCCACAGCAAAATGGGATTGCTGAGCGCCGCAGGTCATGGATGTCGCTCGTACGTCCATGATCCATGCGGCTGTTCCCCATTTTCTGTGGCCGTTCGCGGTTCAGTACGCGGTGCATCAGATCAACCTTCAGCCCCGGGTCTCCCTGCCGGAGACCTCCCCTACTCTGCGGTGGACGGGGAAGGTTGGTGATGCGTCTGCGTTCCGTGTCTGGGGATCTCGAGCTTTCGTCCGAGACTTGTCTGCGGACAAGCTGTCCTCCCGTGCTGTTCCTTGCGTCTTCCTCGGCTTTCCCCCTGACGCGCCTGGTTGGCAGTTTTACCACCCCACCTCGCGTCGTGTTTTGTCCTCCCAGGACGTCACGTTTGACAAGTCGGTTCCGTACTACCGTCTCTTCCCCTACCGCACTGCCCCCCTCCCCCCCCCGCCGCTCTTCCTCGCTCCCGGTCCCCCCCCGGTAGACCCCCTCCCCCCTCAGGGTCCTGCCCCCTCAGGTGTGTCCCAGGTAGATGCAGTTGAGCCTGTCGAGGTAGCTGCTGACTCTGGTGCGTCTGGGGGTGCTGAGCCTGAGCGTGCGGAGCCTGGGGGTGCTGGGTCTGGGGGTGCTGAGCCTGAGCGTGCGGAGCCTGGGGGTGCTGGGTCTGGGGGTGCTGAGCCTGAGCGTGCGGGGCCTGGGGGTGCTGCTTCTGGGGGTGCTGAGCCTGGGGCTGCTGGGAGTGGGGGTGTGGAGCCTGTCGGTGCTGGACCTGGCGGTCCTTCGGGTGCTTTGTCCCGGCGGGAGCTTCCCTCTCCACAGGAGCTGCGCGAGTGGTTTGCTCGCCGCTGGAGCCGTGCTGCTGGAGCTGGAGGTGCTGCCGGTGCTGGAGGTTCTGCTGCTGCTGGAGGTTCTGGAGCTGGAGGTGCTGCTGGAGCCGGTACTGGATGTTCTGCTTCTGCTGGGGGTGCTGGAGCCACGGGTCCCGGAGGTGCTCGTACTGGAGGTCCTGGAGCTGCTGGGCCTGGTGTTGCTCCTGGTGCTGGAGCTACTGGTGGAGCTGGAGCTGGTGGTGCTACTGGAGTGGGTGCTACTGGAGGTACTGGAGCCGGAGCGGCTGTGTCTGCTGGTGGTCCTGCTGGAGCTGGAGCTGCTGGAGGTACTGGAGCTGGTGGTGCTGCTGGAGTTGGAGCTGACGCTGGGGGTACTGGTGTTGTCCCTGCTGGTTCTGGAGGTGCTGCGCGGCCACGGCCGTACTTCGTTCCGCTCCTTGAGCAGGTTCTTGGTCTTCCGCCTTCTCCTAGTCCTGCTCCTTCCTTAGAGTGTCCTCCGCCTGTCCAGTCCGAGTCACAGTTACCGCTGGTCTCCCCTCTTCCTGCTCCTTCTCCCTACGCTGGTCCCACTGGAGGTCTTGCTGAGCGTCGTGAGCCTGAGTCGCGTCCTGCGTCGTCTGTTCGCACTGCTCGCACTAGTCGTCGTGTTCCACGCTCGCGTCCTCCTGCAGTCCCGGGCACGCATCAGATGGCACTGCGTCCTTCCACTGCGTCACAGCGTGTCCCTTTGCCGTCTCCTCCAGCGTCCTCTCTTCCTGCTCTTGCTGACCCGGAGTCTGACTCCCTTCGTGCTGCCAGTCCTACTGTCACACGTGTCCTAGCCACTGTTGTCACTGACCCTTCCTTTGAGTCCACTGCTGCGTCTGCCTTAGTTGCCGAGCTTGTCGACTTCGCTGCTCACTGTCGCCTAGACTACGCCGAGAGTCTTGTTGCTGAGTCTGCGTCTGTCTGTCCTCCGTCCGTCGGGGGTGAGTGTGCTCTTAGCACGGACGTCCTTGAGGACCGACAGGAGGAGTTCCAGTATTTTGCTGCTGCTTTACCTCATCTCGTGTCCACGCTGCTTGCCCCTGAGGGAGACCCGGATGCACCAGACATCCCGACCCCGCGCTCTTACGCAGAGGCGATAGAGGGTCCTTACTCCTCTCAGTGGCAGGCAGCCATGGACGCAGAGATGGCTTCCTGGAAGTCCACAGGCACCTACGTCGACGAGGTTCCCCCACCTGGGGCGAACATCGTCAGTGGCATGTGGATTTTCAGGGTGAAGCGGCCGCCGGGTTCTCCGCCTGTCTTCAAGGCGCGGTACGTGGCTCAAGGCTTCAGTCAGCGGCAGGGAGTTGACTACTTTCAGACCTTCTCCCCGACCCCGAAGATGACCACTCTTCGGGTTCTGCTGCACGTTGCTGCTCAGCGTGACTACGAGCTTCACTCCCTTGACTTCAGCACTGCTTTCCTACAGGGCAGTCTGCACGAGGAGATCTGGCTGCGCCGCCCACCTGGCTTCAATGGGTCGTTTCCTCCTGGTACCCAGTGGAGCCTCCGGCGGCCAGTCTACGGTCTCCGCCAGGCGCCACGTGAGTGGCACGACACACTGAGGACTACGCTTGCGGCTCTTGGGTTTACTCCTTCCACTGCTGACCCGTCGCTGTTTCTTCGCACCGACACTTTACTGCCACCGTTCTACATCCTCGTATACGTCGACGACTTGGTCTTTGCTACAGCTGACACTGCTGGACTCGCCCACGTGAAGTCCGAGCTGCAGAAGAGACACACGTGCACAGACCTGGGTGAACTGCGCAGCTATCTTGGCTTGCAGATCACTCGGGACAGAGCACGGCGCACCATCACCTTGACTCAGTCACACATGGTGCAGCAGGTCCTTCAGCGCTTCGACTTCACGTACTCCTCGCCTCAGGCCACTCCTCTGTCTACTCGCCACTCGCTCTCAGCTCTGCCTTCGGATGAGTCCGTAGAGCCGAGTGGCCCGTACCCAGAGCTTGTTGGCTGCCTCATGTACCTGATGACCTGCACTCGACCTGACCTAGCATACCCTCTGAGCATTCTGGCGCGCTATGTTGCTCCTGGGAGACACCGACCAGAGCACATGGCTGCAGCGAAGAGGGTGTTGCGCTACTTGTGCAGTACTTCAACTGGCACACGCGCGTTGATGTCTTGCCACATGTGGTGCCCGGGATTGGAGCGGAGCCTCCAATCCCGGCGGGATACAATGGGCTGGAAGACGAGACGAAGGGAGAGGATGAGGAGGAAGGCGAAGACGACATCCTCGAAGACGAGTACGCTAACTAGAGGGGGCAAATGTGGCTTGCTGTGGGCGGCTAGTCCTAAGGAGTAGTAGTACGTAGCTTGTCTTAGAGAGAAGTGATGGTCGTGATGGAGTAGTGATGATTGTAGTGATGGTAAGTGATGATAGTAGTGATGATAGTGATGATAGTAGTGATGACAGTAGTTATGTGTAGGCCGTGGTATATGTGTAATGTGGAAAAAAAAAATCTCTGAAACTTCAGGCCCCATACCCCACCCCCATACCCCCCCCCCCCCCCCCCCCCCCCCCCCCCCCCCCCCCCCCCCCGGGCCTTTTTTTGACCCTGCCCGGGAAGTTTTTTTTCTGCCCGAAAAAGCGTATTTCCAAACCCGTCCCTACAGCGTATAGCGTATATAAGAGTGCGTATATACGATAAGCGTATATACGCAATAAGCGTATATTCCCACTAAGAGGCTATGCCGTGGCCAAATCGTTGTGCCATGCCATGAAATCGAAACGCCATGATCATCATTACCTAGGCCATGTGCATTCGATTCATAGCAGGCCTGTCAGGGCAGGCAGGCCAACATGTAGCAAAAGGGCAGCAATTCACCATTCCTTCCATTCCTGTGCCTGCCATGCCATGCCACACCGTGCCATCTCATGCCATGCAATGCCACGTCATGCCACACCATCCCATGGCATCCCATTCCATGCCATGCCATGCCACGCCATGCAATGCCGCCCACCAGACGAAGATGTACCCAAAGAGCAAGACCCTCTTCTATGCCAACGCGCTGGGTCCCATCTCCTCTATAATCCTCTCCACTATCATCGTAGGCTCCTCCGGCATGTACAACAAGGGTGTAGCCACGGTGAGTGCAGGCTTTAAGGTTGTGCACTCACACACATGCACACACGCACACACGCACCCACGCATACAGACATTCGCATTCCCAGTCGTCCATTCCACTTTGTCTTTCCCTCCCTCCCCTGTTCCCTCCCTCATGATCCCCCCTAACTCCCCCCCTTCCATTCCTCCACATGGCCTCACATGCTTGCTTTCATGCATGCAGGGGGGCAGCATAAGAGTGCGGTTAGCTCGCATGTCATCTGTGTGACCCATCCACTCTCGTTCCACTCCCCTTGTGTCTTCCCCCTCATCTATTCCCCACCCTGCCCTGCCGTTTCACACACACAGGTGGGCAGCATACAGACGGGCCTGGGAGGCATGTCATCGGTGTGACCCCTCTCATCCCACTCCCCTCTTTCCCCCCCTCTCCCCCACTGCCTCTCACTCACCCCCTGCCCTTTCACGAACACAGGTGGGCAGCATAACCACAGGGCTGGGGGGCATGTCATCGGTGTGGGACATTGATCTGCACAACGAGTACACCGATGAGGTCGCCCTCATCGCGCTCTACGCTGCCTTGGTCTCGCTCGCTGTGAGTAACCAGACGCCCTCACTCACGGCTTGCTGCGCTTCAACCCCTCCTTCTCTCGCCACAACGAGTACACCGATGAGGTCGCTCTGATTGCCCGTCTATGCTGCCTTGGTCTCGCTTGCTGTGGGTAACTAACCCCCCCTCCCCTGCTCTTCCCCTTCCCCTCCCCCACCCCCCCTCCCTCCCCCCTCCCCCCTGCTCTTCCATCCCCTTCCTCTTCCACACTTTCCTCTCCCCCTCCAATTATCCCTTTGACCCCTTCCCCACTCCCCCCTGCACGTGGTTCTGCTCGTGTGTGTTGCAAGCGCATTGTATCATTTCAGGCTCATTGGGCCTGCCCATCTGCAATCTCTGTTCTTGTATTCCTTTTCTAATTCTATTTTTTTATATTTTTTTTCTTAAATCGATGTAATGTTTACTGTGTGTTTAGGAATCGATTGGCATAGGGCGCACATTTGCGGGCATGTATGGTTACCACATTGATGGTAACAAAGAGGTGCGTAATGACATTCTTTCACACTCGCGATTGCACTTTCCCTCAACCACACTTACTTGCAACCACACTCACTCTCTTGCTTTCTAACAGACCTCACTCACTCGCCTTCTCAAGAAGCTCCCCACTCTTGCTTTCTCAAGAAGCTCCCCACTCTTTTCTGTCGCCTCCTCCTCACCCTTCCTCAGCTCAACTCCCTCCCTCACCAACCCCTCTCCCTCCCTCGCATCCTCTCCTTTCCACGCCTCCTCACCTCTTGGTCGCCAGCTAATTGCCTCATGCTCCTGTCAAACCCTCAATCGCACCCATTTCCCAACCAAACTCACAGTAGCGATCAAATTCCCTCTCTTCTCCCTCTCTCCCCCTCCCGCCCTGCCCCCCCCCCTCTTCGCCTCCTCTCCCACCTCACCTCATCGCCTACAGCTCATAGCCTACGGAGCCATGAACCTCTCAGGCTCCTTCACCTCCTGCTATGTCGCCACAGGTACGCTGCGATCTAATTCGTTGACAAGCGGTGAGCTTGCTTAGTCCAAGCAAGCACGGTGTGTGCACGCTTGCTCTGAGATCCCTACACCGCTGCTGCTGTTCCCACCCGGTGAGCTGGAGAGGAGAAGAGAGTACCACACATGTGCACTGCACAGGTGCACCAAGCACGAGCGCCCCACCAGTCTTGTAAAGCCTCTCTCAAGGCACCTCTCTCAAGGCACCTCTCTCAAGGCACCTCTCTCAAGGCACCTCTCTCAAGGCACCTCTCTCAAGGCACCTCTCTCAAGGCACCTCTCTCAAGGCACCTCTCTCAAGGCACCTCTCTCAAGGCACCTCTCTCAAGGCACCTCTCTCAAGGCACCTCTCTCAAGGCACCTCTCTCAAGGCACCTCTCTCAAGGCACCTCTCTCAAGGCACCTCTCTCAAGGCACCTCTCTCAAGGTACCTCTCTCAAGGCACCTCTCTCAAGGCACCTCCTGCAATGCCTATCCTGTGGCCATCCGTGCCTTCCTGCATAAACCCAACCAAATCCCCTCTTCCCCTCTCTCCCCTGCCCGGCTCCCTTTCTTCCCCCCACCAGGCTCCTTCTCCCGCACGGCAGTGAACATCCTAGCGGGGGCGCACACGGCGCTGACACAGATCATCCTCTCCTTCACCATGCTTATCGTGCTGCTTGCTGCTGCTCCCGCCTTCAAATATGTGCCCGCTGTACGGCCCCTCATTCTTCCCCCTCCTTTTGCCGTCCAATCCGTGCATAGTGCAAGTTTCCCCTCCGTCCGGTGTGCCCGCTTCCACCTTCCCTCCGCTTCCACTTTACCTCCGCTCCCACTTTACCTCTGCTTCCTCCTTTTTACTTTCACTTACCTTCCAATACGCTCCCAGAGTATACCCCACTTCCCCCACCTTCCTCCTGCCTTTTGCCTCCTGTGTCCTGCCTTTTGCCTCCTGTGTCCTGCCTTTTGCCTCCTGTGTCCTGCCTTTTGCCTCCTGTGTCCTGCCTTTTGCCTCCTGTGTCCTGCCTTTTGCCTCCTGTGTCCTGCCTTTTGCCTCCTGTGTCCTGCCTTTTGCCTCCTGTGTCCTGCCTTTTGCCTCCTGTGTCCTGCCTTTTGCCTCCTATGTCCTGCCTTTTGCCTCCTGTGTCCTGCCTTTTGCCTCCTGTGTCCTGCCTTTTGCCTCCTGTGTCCTGCCGTGCCTCCTGTGCGAGCATTGCACCCTCGCACACCCACATCGCTCCTTTCAATACCAGTATTCCCTTTCCCTCAATAGGCCCCTCTTCCCTGTTCCCTTCTCCCCATGCCCTCCCGCTCTCCCCTTCCTCGTCCCCTTCTCGAATGGTCCTCCCCCACGTCCCTCCCTCCCCCCTTTTGCAGTGTGTGGTGGGAGCAGTCATCGCCAATTCTGTGCTTAACCTGGTACTGCCCTCCTCCCTATCTCCCTCCTCCCTACCTCCCTCCTCCCTATCTCCCTCCTTGCTCCTCGCATCGCCGATCTTTCCGGATTCTCCCTCTTCCCTCCTTCATCCCCTTGCCCCCCACCTCCTTCCCTTTCATCTCTGCTCCTCCCCCGTTTCTTCTTACTCACATACCTCAACGTGCCCCTCCATTAGCTGCTCCCACTTGCCCCCCCCATCATCTGTTTCCCCCTATCGCCTTGCTCCCTCCCCTCCTCCCCATCATTGTTCCCCCCCCACCCATTTTGTAGCCATGCTCACTTGCTTCCCTTCTTCCCCCGTCCCATCCCATCCCCTCCCATCCATACCCCTCCCCCCTCTCAGCTGGACTTTAAAGCCGCATTTCAAATCTGGAGGGTGAACACGCTCAACTTCATACTCATGCTCGCCTGCTTCCATCGACCCTTGTCCCCTGGTTTCCCCTCCCACCTGTCCCCCTCCTCCCCCCCGTTCTCAGCTGGACTTCAAGGCAGCGTTTACGATCTGGAGGGTAGACAAACTAGATTTCATGGTCATGCTCGGCTGCTCCCAACACCTGTTCCCCCTATTGACCTAAACCCTTTCTCCGTTCTTTCCCCCCATCAGCTCGACTTCAAGGCAGCGTTTACGATCTGGAGGGTAGACAAGCTGGACTTCATGGTCATGCTCGGCTGCTTCCTCGGGATCATCTTCGGCTCGCCCGAGATCGGCCTGCTAGTCGCCTCCGTCCTCTCTGTCCTCAAGCTCCTCCTCCGCATTGTCCGCCCGCACATCCGCCTGCTCGGGCTGCTCCCGGGCGGCGCCGCTACAGCCGTGAGCGTGCTACAGTTCCCCAACAGCACGCTGTGCGAGGGGATCGTGATGCTGAGGATTGAGAGCCCGCTGTACTTCCCTGCTGCGAATTTCTGCCGGCAGCGCATCAAGAAGCTCTGTGATGCGTATGCGAGGGGGTACCAGCAACCCGTGCGGGTGAGTCTGGTGATTTTGCTGCTGTAGAGGGCTTGGTGAGGGGTTAGTGAGGATGGGGGGTTGGGGAGGATAGAGAGCCGCTGTATTTCCCTGCCACGATTTTGTGCAGGCAGCGCATCAAGAAGCTGTGTGATGCGTATGCGAGAGGGTACCAGCAACCTGCACGGGTGAGTGAGTCCAATTGATTCTGTTGTGAGCGAGGGGCTTGGGAATGGTTCCTGAGGTTGGGGGGTTGGGGGGATTGATAGCCTGCCTGTACTTTCCTGGGGCTGATTTCAGCTCACACTCTCTTCCTCGTTGCGACCCTACGGCATTGCATTCTAGACTTGCCCGTCACGCATGACATTGACGTGTTGCCCAATGCACTGCCCCTCTCTTTCCCACCAATACTTCCACTCCCTCTCCTCCCTCTCATCCCCTCACTCCCTCCCCCAAGTTTCTCCTCCTCCCACCTTCAACATTGCATTCCCATGAGTGTCATGCACGATATTGACGTGTTGCTTGCCGCATGTCCTATCCTTCCTTTCCTCCTCGCCTCCCAACAGCACTGCATTCTCGATCTGAGCGTCATGCACGACATCGACGTGTCGGGCATCGACGGGTTGAAGGAGCTCCACCGAGACCTGTCTGAGAAGAGCATTCAGGTACTGACGGGTGGAGTGTTAAGGCTAAGCGGTAAAAGATTTAGGGTCGTGCCTTGGTGAGTGATGTCGTGAGCAGCGAGGGTCGTATGCAACCCCTCTGCAGCTCTGCCTATCCAGTGCATCAAGGGACGTGCTGTGCAAGCTGCGGGACGCCAATTTCCTGGTCGAGATGGGAGAGCAGTGGCTCTTTGTCACCCCCCTAACCTCACCTCTCTCACTCCCACCCCACCTCACCCCCATTTACCCTCACTCCCTCCCAGCTCTGCCTATCCAGTGCATCAAGGGACGTGCTGCGCAAGCTGCTGGACGCCAATTTCCTCGTCGAGATGGGAGAGCAGTGGCTCTTTGTCACCCCCCTAACCTCACCTCTCTCACTCCAACCCCACCTCACCCCCATTTACCCTCACTCCCTCCCAGCTCTGCCTATCCAGTGCATCAAGGGATGTGCTGCGCAAGCTGTGGGATGCCAACTTTCTGGCAGAGATGGGCGAGCAGTGGCTCTTCGTCACTCCTGCCGACGCCGTCAAGCTGTGTCGCTCCATGGCCGTGGCTGCACCGGCTGTGAAGGAGCAGGACGAGCTGCTGGCATCAGTTCAGGTGTATGACATCTAAAGGGGCTGCTACAACTGCTGCTGCTGTGCAACAGGTCTATGACACCTAGTGGGGTGTGTTTGATTGTAGGGAGGCAAGACATTGATGCCGAGCTCTGTCGCTCCATTGGCTGTGGCGTGGCAACGCCGGCTGTGAAGGAGCAGGACGAGCTGCTGGGGTCCGTGCAAGTGTATGACATCTAGAGGGCCTGCTGGGGCTGCTGTTGCTGCGCAGCAGGTGTACCACATCTAATAGGGGGGGTGTGATTACAGGGCGCCAACACTTTCATGCCAAGCTCTGTCGCTCCGTGGCAATGGCAGCACCTGCTGTGAAAGACCAAGCCGGGCTGGTGACGTCCGTGCAGGTGTATTGACATGGAGGCTTGTTACCTCTGTGCGGCAGGTGTACAAAATTAAGTGCGGCTGCTACTTCATTCCGTGTGCGTGTGCACGACATCAACCTGCTGCTCCTGTGACAGCGCATGAAACGGCAGTCAGTGTGCTGCAGCATTGCCTACAACAACACTTGTGTTGTGTAGGTTGCAGCAATGCTGTGGTCAGCTTTTGTGCAACAGGATGTGGTGCTGCCGTCTGTGCAAAACTTGGTTTGGGTGTTTGATAAATTGGAAGTGGCGGCAGTGCTTGGAATGTTGTGCAGCCCTGCCTTCCATTTTTTACTGATTATGACAGTGTACAAATTATTGTATACTGACGTGTAGTTTATTATAAGAGATAACAGGATGTGTCTCAGCTGGTGAGATGTTAGTCTAGGTATCGTGTTACAAGTGCAATTGAGTGAGCGAGCGAGGATTGCACTATCGAGACAAGATACAATGAGCGAAGAATTGAGCGAAGAATATATAGCGAAACTACGGTGGTAACGGTAACGTGGGAAAATGGGGTGCGCGACGGGCCTAGTGCCGAGGTTTGGGGAACTGTCGAGGCGGAGGTCCGGAGCGCGGGTTACCAGCCGAACCGTGAGGTTGGGTCGCATCGTGAACAGTGGCGGGAATGGTGTCGAGGCGAATGTCGCGAGTGGTAACGGGCAGGGCTGATTTTATCAGGGTAATTACCCTGATTTCAGGGTGATTTCAGACTTGTCACTTTCTGGACCCTGAGAAATCAGGTTTTTCACATTTTGGTCCCTGATCCATTCAGAGTATTGCTTTAGCGGACCCTGAAATTTTGTGTACACTCTCAGTGTAGGGTTTTCACGGACCCTGTCAATACAGAGTACGAGGCCTGTGGACCCTGAATGCGATGTTATCGGGGCGAAGTTTCTCGGAAATTTCCTCCTGATAACCCCTTCGCATTGATTTCAGTGCCCCCCACGTGCGTAATCCTCCCTCCCCTCCCCCCCCCCCCCCCCCCCCCCCCCCCCCCCCCCCCCCCCCCCCCCCCTCGCTTTATCGAGACGAAGTTTCTTTGAAGTTTCGTTCCCATACACCCACCATCTAGATCGGGCGAATCTGTAATGTCAGACTTTAGGTTGCTGTTATTGGTCGAAATAGATGAGCTCTAACACAGCGCCAGTCACATCGCCACAGTGCCAGTCACATCGCCACAGTGCCAGTCACATCGCCACAGTGCCAGTCACTTCTGTCCTCGGTAAAGAAAGAGCGCGTTACTACGACCCTGATTTTCAATTCTCGACCCTGAACATTCAGAGTTCACTACTTCTTAACCCTGAGCAATCAGGGTGCTGTTATTCTGGAAAATGTGCCTTCAGGGTAAATTTTTTTTTTTTAGGTTGAAATCAGGGTACCTAAATTTGAAAAGTCAGCCCTGGTAACGGGATGTTGTGGGGTGCTGTCAGTGTTGTAAGCGCTGAGCAGGGACGCGAAGTAAGGAAAAGGAATTTTCCTTACACTACCCCCCCCCCTCAAGGAGGCTTCCCTTACGAGAGCGCGTGTATATCCCGGAAATTTCTGCTGCGCAAGTAGTCGTTGAGGACGGGGTGGTTTTCGATTTTGTCCAGGGGAACCCAGTTGTCCTCGGTGGGTGTGCGGTCTCTCCAGCGTATTAAAAATTCGACCCTTCGGGCTCCTCGTGGGTCACGAACTCGGTGGCTCAAAATCTTTTCGGGCGTGATGACTGGCTCGGTCGGTGGTCGGGTCATGCTGGCTGGGCGATGTCGGGCCAGTTGGCTGGTGGATGGGATGTAGGGGCAAAGTAGGCTGACGTGGAAGGAGGGGCTGACGTACCAGTCAGCGGGGAGGAGGAGGTGGGCGGTGACTAGTGTGACCATGTGGCTGATGCGGAATGGCCCACAATATCGGGGGCGGAGTTTCGGAGTTATGGGCAGGCGGAGGTTTTGAGTGTCGAGTAGAATTAAGTCGTCGGGTTGGTAAGTGACTGGTCGGCGGTGGCGGTCGGCGTTGCGCTTAGCGATAACGTTCGCCTTTTTAATTGCGCCTGCTGCCCTGGTCCGAGCTTCCTGTAAAATTTCTGCGAACTGTTGCGCTCGTGGCACCGGGTTGTTGGGATTCGGGGTCATGGGTACTGTAGGGTCTTGTCCGTAATTTAGGTAAAATGGCGACTGTTGGGTCGTGGCGGATGGCGAGTTATTGTACGCGAATTCGATTAGTGGAAGTTGCTGTTCCCAGGTGGTGGGGTCATCGCACGTGGCCCAGATTAACTGTTCCATGGTCTGGTTTGTCCGTTCTGTCTGTCCGTCGGTTTCGGGGTGGTACGAAGAACTGAACTGCAGCCTCGTGCCGAATTGCTGCCACAGGTTCCGCCAGAAATTGCTGGTAAACTTCGTGTCTCGGTCGCTGATTATCGCTGTCGGTATCCCGTGTAATCGAACAACGGTTGCGATGAAGAGGCGGGCTGTTTCTTCGGATGTGATTGATTTCTTGCATGCTGCGAAATGTGCCATTTTCTGTCAAACTTATATCTGCTATGGTCTATTTAGGCTGTAGTGGGGTAGCTCTTAGAGGGTACAACACTTATGCGTTTCCTATTTGTACCTATCTCATTTTCTAGTTTATCCATTCTTTCGTCAATCCTTCTCACATGGTATAGAGCTAGTTTCGAGAATTTTTAAAAAGGGCCCACCACTGAAATTCGTCACTGCCTGCTCGACGCGCGCGTCGCGCCTTCCCTTCGAGGCCCGTCGCGGCCCCTGCACCTGCCCTTAGAGCCAGCGCCCGCCCCGTAAGGCCCCGTAAGGCCCCCTTTTCCGGCCCCGTAAGGCCCCGTAAGGCCCCTTAAGGCCCCGTTTACGGCCCCGTAAGGCCCCGTTTAAGGCCCCGTAAGGCCCCGTAAGGCCCCGTTTACGGCCCCTTTTAATGCCCCGTAAGGCCCCGAAAGGCCCCGTAAGGCCCCGTAAGGCCCCATTTACGGCCCCGTTTAAGGCCCCGTAAGGCCCCGTAAGGCCCCGTAAGGCCCCATTTACGGCCCCGTCAGGCCCCGTAAGGCCTCGTTTACGGCCCCGTTTAAGGCCCCGTTAGGCCCCGTAAGGCCCCGTAAGGCCCCGTCAGGCCCCGTTTAAGGCCCCGTCAGGCCCCGTTTAAGGCCCCGCAAGGCCCCGTAAGGCCCCATTTAAGGCCCCGTTAGGCCCCGTACGGCCCCGTAAGGCCCCGTAAGGCCCCGTCAGGCCCCGTAAGGCCCTGTCAGGCCCCGTTAGAGGCCCCGTACGGCCCCGTCAGGCCCAGTTCTCGGCCCCGTCAGGCCCCGTCAGGCCCTGCGCCGGCCCTGCTCCTGCACTGCCGCGGCCCGGCCCCGGCCCTGCCCCGGACCTGTCGCGGCCTCGCCCCGGCCCTGTCCCGGCCCTGCTCCGACCCTGCCCCGGGCCTGCCCAAGCCCTGCCCCGGCCCTGCCCCGGCCCTGCTTCTGAACTGCCCCGGCCCTGCCCCTGAACTGCCCCGGCCCTGGCCCGGCTCTACCCCGGCCCTGCCCCGGCCCTGCCCCGGCTCTGCCCCGGCCCTGCCCCGGCCCTGCCCCGGCCCTGCTCCTGAACTGCCCCGGCCCTGCTCCTGAACTGCCCCAGCCCTGCTCCTGAACTGCCCCGGCCCTGCCCCTGAACTGCCCCGGCCCTGGCCCGGCTCTGCCCCGGCCCTGCCCCGGCCCTGCTCCTGAACTGCCCCGGCCCTACCCCGGCCCTGCCCCAGCCTCTCCCCTGGTAAGAGCGCCGCGCTACCTAGCCACACCACCCTGCCGAGCTGCGCCGCCCTGCCTAGCCTACTTAGCCGAGTTGCACTGTTGCTGCTGCTAGCCTGCTGCTTCTCCTGTCATGGCTAGTCTCAATGTTCTTACCTTTGATGCTGAGGGTCGAGCTGTTGACTTTGAGGTCTGGCTAGATGATCTGCAGCTTTTCCTACAGTGCGATAGCAAGGATGGTCTCTCACTGTTCGATCTCACATCTGGCGCCTCTACTGCCCCTACTGCTGATGTTGACAGTACTGTTCGCTCGCAGTGGCTCACGCGCGATGCTGCTGCTCGTCTTGCTGTGCGCAATCACCTGTCGTCTACTGAGCGCGCGCACTTTAGTCAGTACAAGAGTGCTAGGGCTCTGTACGACGCTGTAGTTGCACGCTACTCCTCCCCTACCACTGCTGCCCTCAGCCGCCTCATGCTGCCGTACCTTTTTCCTGACCTTGTTGCCTTTGCCACAGTTGCTGACCTAGTTGCTCACCCCCGCACTAGTGACGCTCGCTACCGCGCTGCCCTTCCCACTGAGTTTCTTCCCACGAACTCCCCCCCCATGTACATCACCCTTTACCACCTAGTCACCCGCCTCCCTGACTCTCTCTCCTCAGTCAGGGATCACTTTCTCTCCCTTTGCCCTACCGAGCTGACTGTCGACTTGCTAGAGGAGCGCCTTGCTGCAGCTGAGAAGAGTATCTTAGCTGTTGGGGCTTCTCGCGGCGACCGTCGCACCCCCTTCTTTGAGGGGTGTTCCCCTGTCCCCCTTCTCCCCTCTGTTGCCTCTGCTGCTGCTGTCGACCTCGTTGGCACTGAGGAGGTCTGCGCTGCGTCTGCCCCTAGTGGGCGACGCCGCACTGGCAAGGGCAAGGG